GGCGAGTATATAACAAACTCTGTATTTTGAGTGGAAATGTTAGGGGGTCGTCTTATACGCCCAGTCGTCTTATACGCCGGCAAATACGGTAAATCCAACCAAAAATTGCTCACCTGTGAAGCAGGATATCCTGAAACCTGCCCCCTAAGAGGAGGTGCTTCAGTCTGGCAGTCCGGCTGGGGATATATCCAACGAGAGACTGGGGTTGGGCTGTTGCCAGGTGAACGGTAAGTGCTTGGAACCTCTGTCGGGTAACTGGTCTGAGTATATCCAGGTGTGTAATAAGCCCCAGAATATGAGGCAGTATTTGCCCCAGGGCCAGTGGGGTATGGCGAACCATATGCTCCATTTGTATAAGAATTCAAACTCTGTAAAAAAGCAAAGTTGAGAGAAAACAAGATGAGTAGAAGAATTTAAATGCCCCGACTTAATGCCCAACTTTGAAAACTTTGAGAAGAGATCAGTAATTAATGAAAATATGAACTACTAAGCAATTTTTGAAGCATTCTTTCTCTATTATAATCACATACCATATATTAAACTCAGATTATCACTGTAGAGTCTGTGTCATAACCTCAGCTTTAGTTTCTCCATGAGGAAAATGGAGATCTTAAATTTATCTTGCAGGGTTATTGTGAAAATTAAATGAGATGACATATATAAAATGCTCAGCATAGTGTCCAGCACTTAGTACAGTCAATAAATGGTAATTATTTATGATATTGTTGGTATTATTATGGCAAGGTCAAGAAATGAACCCAGAACACCACAGCTCATGTTCTTTGTATTATCCCTCTCTGCTTCCCAAATAATAACAGCAGACAACACAAATTCCTCATACATTGCTTACAGTTTTAAATCACCTATCCAGACTATTAATGACACCCAGAATCCTCAATTTAGTAATCCAAACAAAATTAAATATGAACTCTAAATTTAAATGATGACCTTAATGTTTTCTACTAATTTCCACTTTACCTTTTAAAATGGTTAAAACAGAATCAAGTTTTCTGGTACTCATCTTTCTCTCTAAGACTACTATAATGTTTCCCACTTTAGATAGAAGAATAAGAATCCTGCGGTGTTATCTAGACTTATTGTGGTGATTATTTTGCAATGTATACAAATATCAAATCATTATTACTTTGTATACCTCAAACTAACATTTCAGTTATACCTCAATAAAAAAAAATCCTGATATCTTGTACAGTTGTTAATGGATGGAGATAATGAAATTCAAATTTGATTCCTAATCTAACAAATTGAAAAGTGGGACAGATCAAAGTGGGGGGGGTCATAAAACTATAGAAAATAATTCAAATTCTTAGCCATACTTTTATGCAAGAGGATAAAACACAGGCTATTATCACCACACAGCCCGAGAGAGGTGCAACTGGAGATCCAGCAAGGCATTCTCAGAGCAGAAGAACAATGAACCATCCCTTTGTTAAAGCCACTAGGAGGCTGTCAAGGGCCTTCCACCCATTGGTTGCTGTGACTAAACAAAGAAGTCCCTTAATACAACATACACAGTTGGAGAATTGATAAAACATCTTGTGACTTTCTGTACTGTTATTCAACTTCTAGAAATCCTTACTAAGAAAATGATTCAACTAGAGAAAAAGTTATAGGCATTAATTTGTCCATCATGGCATTATTTATAATCACATAAAATTGTCAACAACCTAAATGTCCTTATAATAATGGAATGACTAAGTAGATTACGGGCTATTTGTTGAGGAAATTTTATTCTGCCTTAAAAATTCACTGTTAGAACTGACCAGGCATTTGATGATGTGAAAAATTACTTTTAGATTAAGTAATGACATTATGGCAATGTTTTTAGAACTTCCTTATATTTTAAAGATACATACTTATGTATTTAAAAGTGAAATAATATGATGTCTGGAATTTGCTTCAAAATACTCCAAGTATAAAGATGAAACAAGATGGCCATGTACTGCTACTTCCTGAAGCTGAGAAATGAGCACATGGGAGATTAACATGGAAAGTACATACGATAAGTAAAAAAAATCATATAAAAAAAGTACATGTACAATAAGTTTAAAGCTGTGTAAACATGATAGGAAAAAGGCTGAAGACAAATCTACCAAAATATGGATATATTAGTGTGGGGGAGGAAAATAATTTTCTCCACCCTTTTTAAGTTCTTCTGGCTGGATTTAATAAACTAACATGAGACGGATTAACAGGATAAAATGACCAAATTTATTATGTACTTTCAGGATTTCCATAAGAAAATGAAGTCCAAGATCACATTGGACAATTGAGGTTTAGATGTCATTCTGGACTAAGGAGAGGGAGGCAGGGGTCTAGTATTTCAAAGGGAAAGCAGGCAATTCACAAGTAGATGAGAAAAGGCAAGTATGTGGTAAATAAATTATTGCTGGGCTACTCTGAAACAATAGGACAGAGTGGAATCTGACAGACTTACTTGGATCCATCCTGTCTGTCACACTTAATTTTATATATGTTAACTTAAATATGCTAAAGTGAATAGCTCCCACCCTTTAAGCAGGTTTTTCTATTGGAATTCCTTTAAGCAGGTAATTTTTTATTGAGTCTTTTGTGTCTTAAAAATAACCAGCTGAAAATAATCAATGTCGCAAAAGGCATATTTTGGAGTGGCAAACTCTGTTCCCCCTCATTAGGATGGCAGAATTAAGAGTGTTTTCCCCCTTTTCTTTAGTTCCCAAATTTGTAATAATGAAGTTGTATTCCTTTCTACGGAAAAAAAAAATTTAATCTATTAAAAATGACATGAAATCCCAAGACTGTCTAGAATCCAGTGGACTCCTAGAACCATAGCTACATCATCAGTATCCAAGTAGACTATTATAATGAAGGGAAACTTCTGTGATTTGAAATTTCTCAGCTGATATGACAAGAGATGAAATCTGAAACTGAAAAAGAAATAAATAAAACCTTTGACAGTCACTGAATTTCTGTAAAGGTCTCATTCTGGATTCCAGAAGAAATCAAGAGACTGGGGCTCTTAAAACTCAGAGAAATTCGAACTGTTGCTCTTGTTCTAAATATAAATGTAGATATGGTTTAGCATTCAAAGTAAAAATAATGTCACACCATATAACATCTCATTACAAGCTAAAGATTATCTATAATAGTATGAAATACTTCTTCCAAAAGGTTGTTTCACAGTTGATGGACTGTTCTGTCAATATAGAATCCAAAGAAGAGAAAAGTGGTCAGGTCCTTCACCCAGAAACCGATACACTGTTCAATGAATTCCCTTTCCATTTTGTATACGAATATCAAATAGCAAACAGACATAATCCTGAAAAAAAAAAAAAATTTCCTATAGCAACACCACAACTCCCCCTGTTGGGCTTATACTGAAAAACACTGAAGCCTTTACCACAAAATACTCCAAGCTTTCATAATTGTCAAGATCAACTTGAATTTCTACTAACACTCATTTTTGGAATTGCAAAATCTATTATTATCCATCCACCGGTTGCTTCCTCGTGCATTATCTACACTTATAGAACTACTCCAATTTTTGTCTCACAGGAGCTCCTGACAACAGTACTTAATACGCTGTATTTTACAACCCAGTTCCCTTTTAAAATAACTGATTATAGTTGCACAACCTTGTGAATGTACTAAAAACAACTTAATTGTACACTTTACAGGATGAATTTTATGGTACGTGGCCAAACCACAAGCATGCAACACTAAGCTATAACAATGTCTGCTTCTCAATTTCAGTCACAGGAATGAGGATTAACACAATTAGTAAAATGGAAGTTTGTGATAAGTAATAACATGATTTTTTTCTTTATTTTGCATTCCACTATCTCTGATCAACCTTATCCTACATTATTTTTAAAAAATCAATTGCGTTTATATTTTCCTTAAGTAAACAAGCAACCCTTGCTTTAGCTTTAACAAATTCTTCAGGCTGAAAATCAATCTTAAAGGATTATATCACCAAATTAATGAGAAAAAACTGTAATTTTTAAAAATGAATTATTCAGCCCCATAAAGAAACTTTATTTCTGCCTCTGTATCACTAATAAATTAGAACAGAATTGAATATAGTATTTGACTATTTGAAATCTATCAGGAGAATTACATTTAAGATATTTTATAGTGATCTGAAAATTTAATTCTGCAGAGAACATTAGTTTACAGATAATTCTGGCTTGGATCTAAAATTCCTATTCTTTGAAAGCTGCTTAAAATGCAGCCACTTTAAAACTGTATATACTGCAATTATGTTTTTAAAAAATTATTTGAAGGGCCGGCACAGTGGCTCGTTGGTTAAGAGTTGGCTTGGGAGTGCAAGCTCTGAGCAGCAGGGCCGCTGGTTTGGATCCCACATGGGCCAGTGACGCTACGCCCTCTACAGCTAAGATGGTGAACAACAGCTCAACCTGGAGCTGGGCTGCCGTGAGTCGCCGGCGACGGCGATCACTGCAGCCCCTGTGGCAGTGAGTTGCCATGGGCTACC